TTTGAACAAATGCCGAGAAAGCCTACTTTACAAGTGGAAAAAAGGTTAATAATCATGTCATCAGACGCTAGTAGTGAAAAAACATAGATATGTCCAACTTACATTCAATACGAAGCATCTGTGTCAACATATGTACCTAACACAGACAGAGATATATTTTGCACCGTAAGTAGAACCCTACACATGCGCAAAAACATCCAAATGTAAATAGATGAAAACAATAGGCGGCGCAAAGGAGGATTCACTTCACATTAAAAATTACGAAGTGCATATTACTTTGTAACTTACTCCTGGAATGAAACTGCGCTTTCTGTACTACAACGTTTACCACAAATTAAACACAGCATTCTAATTACTTTGGTAAAAACTACTCGTATTTTCTAATGTAATAACATCGTAAATCCCTTTATGTTCTACGAAAATAACACGCCCCTGAAATATCAGGAATCTTGTGGACACTCGTGCCTGTACTTAGCTTAAGAGCACCATAAAATCCATGACTAAAATAATCGATGCTATGAACTTTAAGTTAATCTTAAGTTCAGCATGGTCTAAAGAATGGAATAGTGAGATGAGAAAAAGGGAAACAGATTTGAACATCGATATTTCGTAGTTCCGGACACAGCAATGTGAAAGGGGAAGGCAGCTATCGTAGATTTTAATAGTAATCGTTGTTACAAACCCTTAATAATAAATTGTCCCTTTGCGCTACACGAGAATAGATGACGCGTTTTACAAAGTGGATTTAAAAAAGGCGTATTATACTTTTTTTATCCCTTTCTCTATTACACAAGAAAGAAAAATCCCGGAAAATATCCAGACAATAATGCTCGTTTGTTATTATACTCTACTGGTATGTCAACTGAGTTTATTTAAAATTTAACCTAGAATTATATTATATTTCATTCGTTTCTAGCGGTGCAGAATTGTTAAGCCAAAGATCCTTTATCGTGAGGGCCAGATAATAATAAAGTATCAATTTAATAATGTCGCCTAATTATTGTGTATTTTAGAACAATAATAGTGCGTGTGAGATAATTTCAAAACTAGGCGAAATCTACTTGGAACATGTACGCAGTGCGAAACATTGAACCACGAAGCAAATCTGCAGACGTCGTTAATTTCCACGACTCGACTTTATTTAGGATTTTATATCCGTAAATAAATTTACAATTTAGTGCAACCATTGACATTCTAGGACGATGAGTTACCCAATTATATCTTCATTATATTCGTTTTTTGCGAATTATCAGTGGTGGAATAAACTAATTTGCTTCTCAATGAACGTTTATTTGATGATTTAGGTGTTACTTGTTTAGGATTACTTGTAACATTGTTTACTAAAGTAGTCTAGTAGACTAGTAGGGATGTTGATGTAATAGTTATTTACATAATAAGTCATGAAAGTGGTCGTTTACATGACGCGGAGGCTTATTGAAAAGTACGAGGACGCGTAGCGTCCGAGTATCTCTTTAATGCCTCCAAGTCAGGTAGACTCACTTTCATGACATATTATGTATAAAATTTTACCTGAAACCGCAACATGTAGAAAACTTTTCCAAATTAAATTATTCATGTTTGAAATTTTGATACCTAATCACGCATGCTAAAATCACTTTATTTAATTGTTTCCCAAACAAACATTAAAAGTACTTCAATAAGAGCCGGAGCTGCAGCAGAAGAGGCATGCTCAAAAAAACACAACAAATATCGAGATCTAAAGAAAGATTATATATTTATGGGACTTGCCTTCGAAACACTTGGACCATGGTGCAAGGAATAAAGAGATTTTCTGAATAAAATAGGCAAAAGCTTAATTGCGGAATCCGGCGACAAACGCGCTAAACAATTTTTATTTCAAAGGATATCCTTGGCTTGGCCATCCAACGTGGAAATAGTGCATGTATCCTGGGCACTCTCCCAACTGAAAAACAGTTCGACGAAATTTTTTTGTTATAGTTAATTATTGTTTTCTTCTTTGTTACACAATTTTAAATATTTCGTTTAAATAAAATTTTTAAATTCAAATAAAATAATAATAATAATAATAATTAAAACAGTCAGTGTCATTTTAACGCAGTTTTCAGTTTATACTTTGTACTTTTCAACTATACAGTCTTTATAACTAGGTACAAAAGCAGGTATCAGTGAAGAAGAGTACCACCTATGCAAGACGTTGTTATAATGTAGCCGAAGCTGCGGCCGCTGTAGTGAAATATTCGCTCCCCACAAAGTCAAAAAAAAGGTACGAAAAGGCGTAGAAACCTTTTAATGACTGGCGCAAAACTAAAGGAATATTACTTCCACACATAATCCATTAATCGTTCGTAATAAAAAACCATTATCCTTTGTGTAGGTATATTAATATTTAAAAATATCCACATAGTCTGCATTATAATTATCCAATCGTTGATTGAATAACTTATTCAATGAATGATCTAATTGTTATTTTGCATGTACTAGGACTGTAATGGGCGTCAGGCAAAAATATTACAGTACTAGTCAGGTAAAGATCAACTTTCTAATGTCAAAATAGCCCTGAAATTTAGATTTTCTTGACGGTTTTCGGTAATAGTATTTTACATTATTAGCCAGGTAAGTGAGTTTTTACTGGCGATAGGAGAAGTTGACTGGCGAGCCGTCAGGCGAGCCTGTCATCTCCTAGAGCCAGTAAAAACTATTACCTGGCGTATAATGTACAATATTTTATTTGTTACTCATTTGTAAACAATAGTAAACGTCAATAATTAGTTCTTAAATTGATCTCAAAGAAATGTCTAAAATATCATGTTATCCATGTAACAGAGACTTCACATTAATTCTGGCCAATGAAATTACTAGATTACTAACTTGTAAAATTTTTACACGTCAGCTGTCAGTTTTACAAGTCAGTAGCGTTTAAAGATGACGTTTACTCGTTTGCGTTTTGTCTTGTTAATCAACGTTTACAAGTGAGTAACAAATAAAAGTTATTAAAAAAAGGTTGTTATTTCCAAAGCACGCTTGAGTAATCTATCAAGATATACCCGAGTATTATTAATTTTACCTACCGTGAAGGAAGAATTTATTGAATTCTTTCCTAGTGGTCTTTTGATCCGAGCTAGCCTGGAAAGTAAAAGTACGAAAGGTAGGTCTAAACGCACTAACAAAAAAGGAAGAGAAGAAAAAGTTTTGAATAATATTTTTCCTAGAATTGGTGATAAGTGGTCTTGGGAGTTTTTTTAGGGTCCCGACACCGTAGTCGATGCAGTATTGGTTTAAAGGTTCAGATGGCGCAGGATAGAGCACTTGAATCGTATTAAACAGGAGTTAATAAATTTAAATTTCAAAATGCCCTCTGTAGGTTTTTCAAACCCCACCACTTCTCTGTAATCATTGTAACATTGGGGTGATTTCTGTCCCCGTTTTAAGTCGATCACTTTTTTCCTGGGTTCTAGGGACAGTGGTGTCTCTGGATACAGTTTTTTGTGTCTCTAAATGGCGCAGTACTCAGTAATTATTATCATCGTTTAAAAATGGGTAAGTAAGCAATGTAAAGAGACCAATCAACCAAATTAGGAGGGATTTAAACGAAAGCGGAGTTTGGATTATGAATTTTATTTAATATACGTAGCAATATTTTTTATTTTTATTAACTGCAATCAAGTGGTCATCCAGAATCGTGACAAGTTAAGAGCCTCCAACTCAAGATTAATAATCATGAGCTAGCCGTCGGCTGTCGGCAGAAGAAAGAGATTATTTAACTATTATATTTTCGCCCTCATTCCAACTGAGCAGCAGAGTGTTTCTTTGACTAGGTACTTAATTTAATCAACCCACCCTTCAAGTTGATTCATTTTAATACCACGCACACCATACTTCAAAGCGCCACTCTCTGATGTCAGTTTGCCAACTATGCAAGGCAGGTGTCACTATCTTCTTAATATAAGAGCTGCAAAGACACCGCGCCGCTGCCCGCCACGGAACGTCACGGTAAAGAACAACGAATTGTGATATACAGACTCAACGCGCTTTTCTGCGGTAAATATAACACATTTAGGGTAGAAGTACATCTTGAAGTCAGAACATTACTACGCTACTAAATGAGAGAGGAATACAAAACTTTACACGGGCAAAAAAAAACTCCTTTCCCCAATGTTACAACAATTAGCTAGTTAAATAAGATGTTCGAGTAATTAGTTATCGTTAACAGCACAAACGTAGCACCATCGTTAACGATTTCGCAAAGTACCTACTTTGTGCGTTTTTTTAGGGTGAGAACACTTCTTTCTCGTTAGTTTCGGAGGAAATAAAAATCGACTTTATGGTGGATAATAACACTTAAAGCTTTATTTGATCATCTAAATTGACCATAAAGTTCTCATTTATGTATGTGAATGCATACTCTCAAAATGAAACGAAATTACGCAACTGACAATTAATAAACCAAACGACAGGAATTACTTAATCAGATAGATACGAGGTCTGACAATTATATTTTCGGAAAGGCATTACCGCGTTCCGCCTATTTAGTACCAAGTTTTGTTATAAGTTAGAAAAAAGTGCATTTTACAAATTCTAAGCAGAAGTATTTCTCAATTCTTGAATGAAATAAAAACAGCAGCCCTAACTTATTTACGGATGGCCGACTTAATACGCTGAGGGTGGTTGATCTAACTTTTTTAACCGCTCGACGCAAACGCTATCGTGGCTTAACGCATATTACCCTCCGCTCTCTACCAACAACCGAATTCCTACTACTTTTCTTTTTTAAACCACACCCTTTCCGTGGCTCAAATCTTGTCCGCCAATTTTTTGTCTGAGATTCTACTCAACTGCGAGTGGAGTGGAATATCTCTGAATCCGCAATAATTTAGTCATCTTTTTGGCGCCTTAAGCTTCTACACATTTAACCAGTCAGGGCCGTATTCGCATACAAAGTCGAAAAAATATTTAAACAAAATTTAGATCAAATAAAATCCTTTAATGGACTCTAATCGCACTATTTATATCGTACTTACTTGGAACCAAGTCTCCAAACCCAATCGTGGTCATGGTAATAAAGCAAAAGTAAAATCCGTCAAAAAACGTCCAGTCGTCCTCCCAAACAACAAACAGTCCCGCACCGGCCGCCAAATAAACGAATAAAAAGGCAACCGATCCAAGTGCGTAACAAGAAGGTCTGCGAACAACAGCGGTGGCAGTTCTGTAACGCATTAAAGTGCAATTAAGAAACAATAGGCTCAAATGGAATTGTTTAATTTACCTGCAACACCTAGGCAAATGGTCCATAAAAGTAGAGAGCGAAGAAGCAAAAAGGCGTCCCAAATCTGCTATCACAGTAAGCGTAAGAGGTATTCCGATTAAAGCAAAAACTATACAAAACGCTCTTCCTTCTGTAGTTACTGGCACAGTGTTTCCGTAACCTGAAATGAAAAAAAAATACAATATTTGACAAAGATAAATCGTTTATGATTAGTTTGAGGATAAAGCATTTCTTATACTGCATTGTATGTAACATAATGGACATAGTATTTCTGAAAACACGGTGTATGAATCTCTTGCCAAATTCAAGCCTAAGATTAGTAGCTGTGGACCGACCTTCCTAAGTGTCATTAGGTTGTCGTTGGAATCTTCATCCTAAATTGCACAAGTAACAAGTTGCATGAATAGACGAACAGGAAGCAATAAACATAAACATGGAACGCATTAAGTAGGGCAGTTAGTATTGTGGCGAATTTTCTATAACGTTATCAAGGCGCCATCTAGTCAATAACAGATTAGTTACCGGCGATAAGGAATCAAAGCGAATGTGGCTCATTCTTTTTGTGTAATATGATCTACTTTCTATATTTTCCTAGCAGATTTATTGTTTGCTATATATAAGCAAATTGTTTTTAGTTCCAGTCTTAAGATCGATGCTGAAATGATAAATAACAAAATTCGCTCTTGTGTTAAATGTAATAAATGTGATTGCAAGTATATGAAATGTTATAAATCAATTCCTACCGTGATAAATTTAATTTATCCTTAATAGTTAAATGAATAAATTAAAAAACACTACCACCCTGGACACGTCAGCAAATTATTTTATTCCGTTCCGCCAATTCTATATCCTCTCCCCGCAGTTTTTGTACACAGAAAGTAAAAGACGTATTATCGAAATTATGTAACCCGTTAAAGCATTTTCTTTGATTCAATTTAAAACCTTTTTTGTATTTCGTGGTGTCCGTGTAGAGACGAGAAAAAATAACCCTACCTCAGAGGGCACTGCGTGTCGTAGGAGGCGACTAACCAACGAGAAATCAGCCGTAACCCCATCGCTGGAATGACGAGGTTTTGGTTTCTGTTTTTACCGGTTATGACTCGTTTCTTGATTGCGGCGATTTTAGAGGATTTCTGAAAATGTTGGTTATGTGACGTGACCGAGTGGTTCTTAAATACGGTCCTGACTTGTTTAATGCGTTTGAAAATTTAAGGCGCCGGTGAGTTGTGGGCAGTGGCGTAGCTAGGGGGGTGCGGTAGGTGCGGTCCGCACCGGGCCCCTGAAATGAAGGGGCCCTATAATTCATCCGTGTAACCGCGCGGCCAGGATAACAAAAATTATGCAACATTTTTGAAAATCTGTGGTTGATCGATAGTTTGCAGAAATACTGTAACGGAAACGCTCCAGACGTGACGTCGCCTTTGGCGCTCTGGAATTTTCTACGCGCGCGATAGCGGGACGAAACATTGAGCGCGAAAATCTGATATAAATTGCGAAGGGTGTAATATAAATAGTGGATATAAATTGTACAGTTTTTATAGTGTTTTAGTTTTGTTTAATAAATATTGATATAAATCGAACCCGAATTTATAAATCACGTTACAATACGAATAAAATAAAGGTAAGTAAATTTGTAAGTTCTGACCATTTTTAAGCTAATCAAAAATGAGCTAAAACAAGTCGGCCTTCGTAATTCATTCTATTATGTTCTATGCTATTCATTACTTTTATGCAGTTGACAAAACAGCTGCACGATTGATTTCAATTCTGTTATTGCTGATTTTGCTAATACGAAAGCATGTAAAATAAGTTTATAGAACTTAAATGTATTTTTTTTACACAAAACGCTGTAAATAAATTTCCTAAACCAAATATAGCTTATTTTTGTTTAAATGTTTCCCATTAGGTTATCACACATATTTCGTATTTCTTTGGGGGCCCAGAAATTTGGATCCGCACTGGACCCAGAGAACCCTAGCTACGCCACTGGTTGTGGGATACGGCGTGACTGTTTCAGTTTACAGTAAAAATGTTTGTTTTGTAGTTGTCGTTATCTGGGTTGCTGCGGCATGTGGGATTTGCGGAAAATGACTGCAATTTGAGTAGATTTATAGCCATCAATGAATCTGATTGGACGTGTGTAGCTAGTTCATTGGCGAAAAAGATTTTGGGTGAAGGGATGGGTGTTAATCAAAAAAGTAAAGTAGAGGGATTTTCCTTTACAAGTTAAATATACTCTCATTTAAGTTATAGTGACTGTATAGAGACAGTTCACAGTGGCGACAATAGAGTGTCTAATTTATTATTGGTTGTTGAGATCGGCGGCCATGTTGCATCAAGTATATCTAATATTATAGGTACTGAAGTGTGCGCAACATATGCCGTACGTGTATTGTATACTTTTAATTTGAATTTTTGATGCAACATGACCGCTGGGCTCGTATTGTCACAACTGTCTCTAAAGAGTCACTGTAATTTAAGTGATATTCTTTCACCTTTCTTTGTAAACCCGTTTAGTTTAGATGTGCATAGTTAGTTGAGTATTGTAGGTTTCATTTACAGTAGCTCTTTGTTTGCCGCTAGAGGCCATCCGAGTGTACTTCGCTGCACACAATTCTATCCCTTCTTTAATTTTGCCATGCGTGCAAGCCGTACTTCAGAGAAGTAGGAAATATTTGAAGTACGAGCCCCTTTGGGAGCGAGTACTTTAATTTCCGAGTCAAGTAGTATCATTTTACTGACGAGTTTTGTTTTAAATTTTACCCGAATTCGTTTTTAAATGTAAAATTCAATTCTCGTGCAGATTTTTTGATCAATGTTGATCTGTCAGTGATCACAGTAGTCATTATACAAATTACCAATGTGACATGTGCGTTAAGGTGAGAGGTGTGGCCTGTAAAGTGACGGCAGAAAAGGTGGTCTGGTCATGGAAACTAACATTTCCTGGCACGTGTATCCAAGTAGGCATGAAAATGAAGGTTTCATGACGATTTTCGGTAAATGAAGGTTTCAGGACGATTTTGGGTAAATTGAATTATTGACTCTTATCTTATTTCTAGTCTTATTTACAGTTTGTAGTATACTAATTACCCTAGTGTCGCACGTTAGACAGTGCTATCGCAGTATTTAAATACGGCCCTATTCACGTCCCTCTTGTGTTTTTTTGTTTGTGTTTCTATCTGTTACAGATAAGGCAGAAAAGCATCCTTCAGAGCTCAAAAGGCCATTACGACCAGAGTTTCAAATGTAATGTATTTTTTTCGACGATTCCTTGATATAACATGTGGTTACATACTAGTTTTCGACACAATCGAATTGTAATTACTACATTTGTTTCAGTTGTCATTTAACAATTATAGCTCCGTTGTTTTCTGCGGAAACCTGTTTTGATATTGATAATTTTCCAGATTGCTTTCTAAAAATTGTGTTAAAGCGATCATTTATTAAGTTTCCCTCGATTGTGACCACAATTATTGTATATGTTCTACCCTGTCAATTACTTTATTTCTTTAGCTTATCAAGACCAAAATAAGGATCCCTTAGTTCCCCCTTTCGGCAAGTATTCTTTCTTCTCTTTTGAATTTACTAAATACTAAGTGGCGCCTATCAGTCTCAGTCTTCAGTCTCAATGCGCGAAATTAAACTTCGCGCTCGTGTTATATAATAGTTATAACAAGAGCGCGAAGTTCAATTTCGCGCATTGAGACTGAAGGTATTTTGGCGAGGCGAAGCCGAGTTAAAATATCAGTCATATGCGCGAAATTTTTGACAGTTGTAGAAAAATAACTATTTATACTATACGTAGATTTGCCGTCGGCACACCTAATTTTGAGTGACCGTACACTTGAACCGCTAATCAAAGGTGCCATTCATTATACGAGACCTAGGTTTTTGTATCGATCTTTCTTTTCATTCAATTAGATCAATCTGTATGCCGAGATTGAACGAGATATACACTTTAGCATTGTTGTATGATGATGAGAAATCTCCATACTATTCACACAAAAAACTCACCCCGTATATAAAAATGAAAAGGAAGGGGAGACATAGTTAGTAAGGATAAAACAGAATAGCAGCCTATTTGTACTTCAAAACGGTCTTCACAAGAAGCAAGTAAGAAAAGGGATTAAGTCAATAAATTTAGAATCCATTGCTTAGTTGAGTTTTTCTTCTCTACATACACCAAAAAGTGGCAGAATAAGGAGCAAAAAAAAAGGAAAATGTAATGCTAGTTTATAGAAGTAGTAAAATTTGTTCGTTTCAGAAAAAACTGTAAAGTAAATAAGGTACATTTTTGTAGGGAGGCCAAAAAGGAAGACCACAATAACCCTCCACATTTATTATGATCTTTAGGACATCGTGATTTTCTCATAAAACCTGAAGTTCGATTATTTTTACGTGTCACAACTTATTCTTGGTTCCAAAAGATCGATCTTATTCGTCGCAGTGCAGTAGTTAATACCTACTCGTAGCAACATATTGTCATTTCAACGAGATATGTGATCGCATGGTAATTTAAACGGCTGGCCCACAAACTGGCATACTCCCTAGACACAACTTACTGGGCTGCATTATAAATGTTTACTCACTATCAGATGTAGGGTACATACGCTAAAATGGCAGAATGTCTGAAAATCGATAAAGCTTCCTCAATTATTTATGGCAATAACTTTGACAACCCTTGCAAAATTTCCAACACAAACATTGTTAACACATAAAAGTTTGTAAATTTTAATGTGCAAAAACTGAAAGAAAGTGCGAAAATTTTTTTACTCCAAATCATACAAAATTAAGGGGTACCTAATTTTTCATCATTTGTATTACAAGTTCGTATCAAGTATAGTTTTTATTCGCCAGCGTTGCGGATGGATGAATGTAAATTTCGGGAATGTTTCTGCGGCACGAAATTTTTCGAATAATTTATTACCGAATCCGCCTTTGTTTTTTCTCGCGTTCGTGCTCTAAAGGAAGTCCGCATTTATTGGCTGTCAAATAACTAATTAAAGAGGGAAAGCTGTTTTGTTTCGCTTTGCAATAATTAGCGAATATAGATGTAGGGTTCGGTTCAGTTCTTTGGATGATAATGGTTGCCATGCCATTTGATACATAAATGGGTGCACAGTTCTAAGTGTTTACTTAGAAGTGTGTTTGCCAAAAAACGAGTGTAATATACGGCGCCGTGATTTCTCCGAGTTACGAAAGAATGCCATTTAAAATATTTCTTTTATGGCAATCCCCGCAATAATTTATATACGTTTTTCACAAAGAAAAAGTTTATGATAATTACTTTCGCATATAAAAGAAGCTAGCGCGACTCCGCAGGCTACGCGTGCTTGCCTCTCAGGCTTTATCGAATATTTATAACGGTTCATTCCTTACTACTTAGAGATATGCTGCGCTGACCATAGGCTGGAAACTTTGAATTTGTCAATAAGTTGTTATTCACTGTATCGTCTGAAATGTGTAATTTTTTTCGAAAATGTAATCATTTAGTTAATAGATTCTTTGTTTAGTCTCCGTACAACCACAGATTTAAATATACTACAGATGGATCATGAGATAGGCGATTGTGGAAACACAACAAACGTTCCAGTTGCTAGCGCACCTACATGAATTTTATTAAATCGAAAGTTTTAGTTTGCGTCTCAGCTTAAAATAATCAGCAGGAGTCTGTATATAACGATGGCATAGAAGGTTTTTACTATTGATGGTGCTGAAAAGCAATATGATATGAATTTTTTTCTTCGTAATTAAAACAATGGGTCTTTGTATTGAGTGTTTGTGTTCAATTACGACCTTGTGTGGGCGTATCTGTGACCGTTCTCTCTCCTTTAATTTAAATTAATAAATCCAAGAACAATTTTTTTCTATAGAATGGTAGTTTCAGTTTCAGCCTGAAAATTAAAATTCTGTAATCAAACTACTATCAATGGAAAGTTTTGATATGTCTAATGTCTATACGTTCATTCAAGGCATCGCCAAATGAAATTGAAACCAGGTGTAAAATTCTTGCAGAACAGCTTTTTATAACTACTCGAAAACTTCACTCGTTATCTGTTTGTTTATTTTAATATTGCAGTGGGGTAAAAAATGACCCTTCCCTTTTTTGACGGGAAACATCAAATACATGTTTTGAGGCACCAGGAATCCGAATCAAACAAAAGCTCGATGATGTATACAGGGTGATTTATATAAAAGTTGTATTTTTTTAAATAGAACTCACCTATATTATTGCATATTTCGATTACTTGGTCAATTTTAGGGTGACTTTATTTACACATGAATCATGATAGCTAAAATGAATGGCTGAGCGTCATTATTTCAAAAAATAGATGTCCCGTAAAAATTGAAAACGAAGTTTTCATAAAACTTAGAAGGCCATGACGCTGCAGTATTACTAATCATCACGTGTGCTTATACCTACATACGCCGAACAGTCAAAGTTAAACTTTTTTTGTGCTAAAAGAAATCACTGTCAATTTTCAAAATTTCAATCATAGATAACTTGATTTTTTTAAATGAAACTACCAAGTTTTTTATTGCTTCAAATGTAGGATTTGATTACCTTTCTAACGATATAAGCACGCCGTATTTACCTTTTATACATATTTTTGTAATTCAACCATTTCTAATAATACACAAGGTTTGTCGATTTTTAAAGCCTCTCAGTAATTAATAGGCCGTTAAAAGTTAAAACACCTATTCTAATAATTATAAAACAGGGAGTTATATTTAAAAAAGTGCAACTTTGATTTAAATCACTCTGTATAACAATTGCAATTTCGTTGAAAATATTTTTAGGTTGTAGCCTGAAGAGTCGTTCAATATGCCCCGACAATGAATTTTAAATATTCTTTTCAAATCCTAAGTATTTAGTAACCGCGCACTAAGCTGCTGTATTTCGGAGAATTTCATATATATTTTTTTGTAATAAAACCAAATTTGTGTAGGTTGAACCAAGAAAAATAATCTCTTTCAAATAACTAAATAAAAAATTTAGCGCTACTATGTATTTGAAAAAAAAGTTTATTTGTAATAAAACCTAGCATAATTTGTGTAGGTTGTACACAGAAAAACAAAGTCTTCCGAATAATTTAATAAAAATTTTGCGTTATTGCTATTTAAAAAAAAATAGTATGACGTTTACATCCTTTATGCCTAATCTGCCAACGTATGTACGTACATACGTAGGTACATACGAGTTAAAACAGACAGTAAAAATTTTTATTCTTTAAAAGTTGCTTAAAATGATCTAAAACGTTGACGTTTGATGAAATTTTGATACGTCCAAAAACGGTAATCGCAATATAGCCACCCCGCGCTTTTTGACAACCCGTACGGATTTACTAATATCTCAAAATATATCGAAGTACTTTCTGCACTATTTTGTTCCGCATTATCATGCAGCCTTAGAAATTCATGACTATACCAAGAACAGAACGGTGGTACATATCGTGGAAATTGTAACGTCTACTGCGGTACTTCCCCAATATAGGGTCTCAACTGGGATGCGACATTTTCGATCTCACAGAAATTTGGTATCTGCGTCTCTTTAAGGGAAAAATAACGAAACCAAAATTGTTTTTGAAAATTCGAATTTTAACTGCAATTCTGGACCAGACATAGGCCTACGGTAGTTTTTAGCTCATTTTTGCAAAGTAGGATTGATGTCAAAACTCTAATTGCATCTTCATTTGTTCTTAATAGAAGCTCTTCATATCACTTTGGTCGGCTGACTGGCTGGTTGGATGGCTGCCTGGCTGGCAGCAAATGAGGGCCTGTAGACAATCGCATGTAGAAAGACGAGGAGTGTACGTGTCCATACGGGGTCGTGTAATTAACAACTTTAGGGACGGGGCTACATGATGTGGGGACGGCGACATCTGGGCGCCATCCCCACGCGTGGTTTACTAACGTGATAATTTTTAGTTTTTCCTATCTTCTTCTACAGTTTTGGTCGAGGTCGAATCCATAATCGCACGTCAAGATACAATTTTACAAGTCGTACGACAAAATTGTGTAATGTGAATCTTGAAATATTTGGTTATGGCAACTCGCAAGTCGCAAGAAAAATCGTAATCAAAATCACATAACGTAAATTGCACTTATAAGAATCCCCCATTTACACGCTTCTAACTTGTATTTGAACTGACCACAAATTTTTTTAAAGTTTCGTCAATAAATTACCAGTGGAACTGAGAAGAAAAAATAACTTTTTGTCTCAACCAGCATATATAAGGAATAAAATCATTAATCCGCATGTGGGCAAAGGCGAAGAGTGCATTTTCAAATTTGTTTTTTCGATTTTAACAGCCCTTATGGACATTTCATGCCTTAATGAGAATACAAAAATGAAATAACTTTTCTGATGGAATGACACCAATACCATGTCTGTAAGTGGTGTAGTTCCGGAGCCTTTGTGACTCAGACAGACAGACAGGTAGACATACCAAGAGCGCCAAAGTGTGCACATTTTTTTTTGAAAGTGAAAGTGTACTAAAAACGGAACTGTCACGTTCAAAACGGGACGTTTGGTCACATCTCACATTCGACTCATATTCGCTAACTTGACATAAATTCTCAGAGACGCCTATTGTTAGTTACCTATGTTGTTTCTCACAAAACAGGCCTAACACCTTCTCTGATTAATTAATACAAACTTCGTCTACGTCATAATTGTGCTTTTAGATCGTCTTATCATTAAAAATACTTACTATAAAAATTTAAATACGAGCACGGAACACGCCAAGCTAAATCGCACAAAATACCGTACCTACTTATAATCAAAAATAAATCAATTATACGGTAAACATCCTGCATAATTACAAATCTTGTTGGTTTGACAGAATAAGGTATAATCAGTCGTCGGTTCGCCCTTCCGAGTTCCGATATAAAGGAATGTGTATGTGTAACTAACATAAACGCATGCTAGCAGAAAAATTGCGAGTGTAAATGGGGAAGGTCAGTTACATACAATACAACATTTGTTGGGCTCTGTGTAATCGGATACCCCTGTTTATCGCAACAGTTCTTGTCTTTCTTATTGCAGTTGTAAACCACGCGCAAGTTATTCATTCTACAGCGCTTCCTTGTGGACGAGGAATAACACTAATTTAGTTTGGATTTAACGCACCGTTGCCAGAATTTAACATGGCATGATCCATCTGTAGTATATTTAAATCTGTGGTACAACACACGTTTTCTTTCCCACATTCATATATGCAATAACTTAGCCAGAAACCCAATGAAACTGTCAAACGTAAAGCGGACTTAGAGCCGTATCGATCAAAAACATTAAGGGTACCGATGTTTGTTAGAATCTCGATTACGATAAAGGAGAATTTGGGTCATTTCCGTGTATCGTTTAAGCGCACTCGTTATTCGATTAATCTACATTACTAAGGTGAGTACCTTTACTTGCATTTTATTGTGTGTATGTAATTAGTCTCATCATTCATAAAAGGGCACATTCTTAGAAATGTTATGCATACGAAATATATATGAGATTAGCAGAGTTATTAGTGAAGGTATCCTCTTGTCTTAATTGTTAGAGCATGTTGATCATTAACTTAGGGGTGTGGTGTTGAACTCTATGCCTGCTGAATATGATTTTGTGTGTGTGCAGTTAATTACTACTTTGTCGTTAACTGGAACAGGTTATGGATCCGGCCACGTTGGAAAGTCGTAAGGGGTACATCGGGCACAGGACAGTCTATAGCTGGTGGTCTTGGTCCGGCGTTGTGTTAAACCATTATTTATCTCGCTGGCCCGGTCGACGCTGGAAGGCTCCTTATCACATGGATAACACGTTCGTCCTAAGTAGAGGTGACTAGTCTTTTGTGTGTGTGACGGTTTGGCGTATATGCAGTAAGTGCTCTGGGCCAAGTTAAGGGCGCGTGTTGATCCTTTGATCGCTGTAAATGCTCCGTACTCCAGGATGCGTCGAGCGCTCAGATTGGTGTAAATACTTCCTGCCTGAACCACGCGGACCCACCGTGTTGGGAGACTACTGTTTGCCCTCTTTCATTGTGAAGGTGAATTATCGTACTGAAGGTGCTCTGTAGTATATGGAGAAGAGCCCAGGCACTTTTATTGCGCATGATGTCTAAAATATCATGTTATCCATGTAACAGAGACTTCGCATTAATTCTGGCCAATGAAATTACTAGATTATACTAACTTGTAAAATTTTTACAGGTCAGCTGTCAGTTTTACAAGTCAGTAGCGTTTAAACATGACGTTTACCCGTTTGCGTTTTGTCTTATTAATCAACGTTTACAACTGAGTAACAAATAAAATGGTTTTAATTTCCTAATTTAATATTCGTGTACCTACTTATATTAGGTTTGTGCTGCATATAACAAAAGGTAATGTGCTTAGCTGTAACTGTAATTATAAAGGGTTTTTTAATAGGGACGCTTGAACTTTGACACGCATAGTGGCCATCTTGGTAAAGTGATAGCTGTC